TCATTTACTTCAAATTGGTCCCAGCTCGTCGCACCTGTGCTCTCTAAAGACATGTCCACGGGGGCATCTGTACCCGGTTCCCAGGGTTGGAGTTCTCTTTCTCGGACTACTTGGGCGCCAGAGATGTCTGTATCCGTTTTGAAACCCGTACGAGCTCCTAGGAAGAAAAGGGAAATCTGTTAGCCTATATATGAATGATCAAAGATGGAAAAGCTGTATTTTAATTACCATTGTGTTCCTTTGCAGCAATACCGGCGGTCGAGACGTTTTCAACACAAACATCCGCAACATCTTGGACATCGAAAATCATTTGATGGTCCACACCTGATCCAATGTAAGGGCTAGAAAGGTCACTAAGTCCATTCGACCGACCGTTGTCTGCTTGTGGTGAGGAGCAACGTTGCGTCATTTTCAATGTAAATGAGGAGTTATTCGACTCTAACGATGATCCCGAAAAAATGCCAGAAAACCTCTCTCCGCTTTTGGTTGTGATAGTGGCGTTTAAACCCTACCAAACAGAACGGATTAGTGAACGGACGACGAGGGAGGGATGCTCCGAAAACCGGTTAAGGGAAAGGAGGGATGGACTTACGATGCAGGCAGCTAGGAGAAAGGTGAGGCGGTCATTGGCATGCATATCGGGGGTGTTTGACTCCCTATTCGACGACGGGGATGCCATTGGGTTAGGGGAAATCGTTGATTTTCGCTGAGGGGCTCCTCCGTTCTGACTGGGATAGGAAGGTTTCTGGGTAAGAGGATTTGTAGATTGAGTCCACGCCTTTGGGGGATTATTACGCCTATAACATGTGCCAAAGGTAAGGAAGGAAGGTCAGTGAATGAGCTTGTGATAAAAGGGACAACCGATCAGGCCACCGAGGTGAACATGGCGAAGAATGAGAGCAGTAGACACAGAACTCGAAGCAGCTAAACGCCGCACCAGAGTCAAGGAAAGATTAAGGAGAAGAAAGAAGTCGACTGAAGACTTGAATATAGAAGTGTGTGTGTGTGTGGGTGGGTGGGTGTGCGTATGAGCGACAGTGCGTATGTGCATGTGGCAGGGCTTGAGGGTGTGTGAGTGTGGAAGAAGAAGAAAACAGTATTGTGGAAGGCGGAGAGGGAGGAGTGGGAGTGAGTGTCAAGCGTGAGGGCGTGAAAAAGCTGGCCAAGTTTGGAAGGCACGCACGAGGCGGCTCAACGTCGGTCGGAGCCTCCTTCGCTCCTACCACGCCCAAGAACAGTAACACGACACCCAAGACAAAGGGGGAAGGAGAGATGGCAAATGGCGTATGGCATATGAAATAGGAAGGCGCGGTCCGTCCCGGCGACGGACGACAAGGAGACGACGACATACCTCTGAGCACCGTCGACAGGGCTGCCCGCCTGCCGTCGATTTCCATCAGTGCTGGTCTTGATCGTGGAACTCGAGCGCATGGCTGGTCTGCTGTTGTTGCTGTCGTTGTTGCTGTTGTTATGATCGCTGGCAGCAGCGGATGGATTCTGCGGCACGGAATTGCTGAGCGGGTTGCCTGAGGCTCCGTTGACAGACGACATGGAGTTGATGGTGGATGTCATGGCGGGAGAAATTTGGGGTTAAGTCCAAGAGTTCAGTTACCGCCCTAAGATTTCTGCACCTAGGTATGTAACCTAGGTTTAGTTCAAAGATAGTAGTAACAGCAGAAGCAATACCCGTGAACACTTCAGGGACCAGCCAGGCTGGGAGAAGGAACCTTGGAATGCCCAGAGCCAGAAGCCAAAGCCAGAGCCAGAGCCACAGCGAAAGCCAAAGCAAAGCCCCAGAAAGCCCACACCGCCTCACGTTGTTTAAAGATGGAGTGAGTGAAATATGACGGACGGAGAAGAAGTAGCAGAAATAGACGAAAAAAAAAATAGCTCGGGCTGGGGGGGTTGGGGACCGGGGAGGGAAAGGGAAGAAAAAAAGAAAGCTCAAGCTCAATGGGAGGGGGGCCAAGGGGCAAGGAGGAAAGGAGAATAGGGAGACAGAAGAGAAGAAAAGGAAGATGAAGAAGAGGAGAGGGAGATAGTTTGGGGGAGTTGGAAGGTTGAGAGAAAGAGGCTGGAGGGAGATCGCGAAGGATGAAAATACCAGTGGATGTGTTTGGACATGGGGATACGGGGTCAGGACGGGAAGAAGCCATCGACCAGCGAGGAGCAGGCGCGGCATGGTAATATGATACGGTAACAATTGGCAGAATGCGTCAAAATGCAGAGCGATATTCCTGACCTTTTCCTGCCGAGCCGTATTTTTGGGTGCTTGCCTCGTTTCAACTCAAATCTATCCGCCAATTATCGTCTATAGCCGGACCCACCTTGCCGCTTTGAGGCATGGCCCAGCGCGGATTCGTCCATCCTCTAGCTAGATCAGGAATGGCTGCCCGTTCCCCAGTATCGGTAACTTTTATCATAGTACAGAATACAACCTCCTTTGGTCAATTTCAGAGATATCATTTTTACCAGATGAAGATATAAAAAACGCACAGGCAATTTTTGATCACTATGAAAATGTTTTCAATTCGTCAGTCCCTTCAAAGAATGCCATTGTCCTCATCCTAGCCAATCAATGACAACACGCTTCTCTCTCGCTCATCAACAGCACTGGCAGCGCTTTGACGGGTACACAAAGGGATTTCATGATCATTGCTCCATGAAATCTTTCTTGCCCATGTGCGCGCCACCATCGTTCTCCACCGTCAAAGTGGGCTCCCAGAGAAGAAAAAGCTTGCCCATATACACACCCTTGCTCTTGTTTTCTAGCTACAAATACCAAGGCGATGATATCGGAACCGAGAGCAGCTCAACAATCCTTACCATACCGTAAATAATAACGAAAGAACCCAACTCACTTTCTCCAAGGCAACCTTTTTCCTTTTTTCTTTTTTCTTTCCTTTTGTTGATCAAATCTACAACACAGTTTGCAGATGGACACAGAATCAATACCAATAATAAGTGATAAATCACTATTCCGACACCAGAACCCTGTATGCTCCCAAGGTGAAATTCTCTTCAACCAGCACACCGTTCTATTCCCTCATCGATTCATCCCAACAGAGCGCTGCATTCGCATTGCAGCGGAAATGCAAGCACTAGCACGCCAGGACGCTTTAGCTCTGCAGGCTAGGTAGCCTTCTTTTCTTCCTTCTTTTTCCTCCGCCCTTCTTTTTTTCAACGGAAACGTTAAACACAGTAGATGCTTTGTTTTCAGTGAAAACAAAACCGGGGCTGCTATGTTTAGCACAGGGAAACTCAATAATCGGCCGGCTTTATACATACTTAGAACACAGACCTTCTCTTCCCTATACTACACTGGTGTGTTCAATCAACTGTTCTGACTACAGAGAATCATGTTGCTTGGTGAGCCAGTGAGTTGTTTATTCTAAACTCAGCATGGGAGGTACCTACAGAAGTAGGTAGTTAACAGAGTTCCCGGGAGTTTTCATCAAGAAACGCTCCACTGGGACAAACAAAACTCAAAGTCATAGGTAGGTAGGTAGTAGGTATCTATTTTGGATATGGGCTGGTGTGCAGATCATGTGGATAACACCGACAGTTAAATTACCTTGTTTGCATGACAACATCTCAATCGCCTCGCCTCACCATATCCCTAACAATGAGGCAGGCAAATGCAGACTCTTGGCATGGGCCATGCAGTGGCTCTCAGCGACGGGCGGCTGGCGTTGTTATTTGAAGAGGTTTCTGGTAAGTTTATTTGATGCCAGCCATTTTGACCAAATCTGAGAAGGTAGCCTGTATTTAGATTTCCCACTACCTCTTGGACAAATCATAGCACTAGAATGCCGTTTGATAGAAATTTCATCATTAAATTTCCTACCTGCTTACCCATACAGCATATTTACCCCCATTATCAATGAAATAAAATCTTCTCTTGTTCTATAATTATAGCACTGAGTCATTTCACAACCGAAGAATAGTATGCAAGGAATCACTGAAACAAAGGAGACAATGAAGCCCAACAACTAAACAAACTCATGGTACTTACATACGCGAACCTTTATTTCCCTTCTTTCCTTTAGATTTCTTGTAACGGGAGGTAAAAGGAGAGGAGAATATAATATCAAAGATTTAGACATATTGTATTGAGGTACAGTACATGGACAGTATGCCTCATAAAAATACCCAATCTAGTATTTAGATCACCAGTGAACTGTATCTCATAAAGAAACAACTTTGTGTTCAATTACAACAGCCCAACCCAAGAGATCCACAGATATTTAGAGAACTACATCATTGAAAACTGCGCTGCGAAAATCATATTTCTATCATCTCATCTAATTGACTGCATGTAAAGAGGTCAGGAGAAGAGGTGTTTGCTTTAGATTGGAATTATTTCATTGCTCACAGCCACGGGTTAGTACTCCATCCTCTGTAGTACATACCTCAGTTACCAAAATCCGGCTTTCACTCCAGACTGAGATTTTTAGTTCAAGACATTATTTGAGAGAGACATTGTGACTTAATGTTTTGGGATGACAATTGAAGGAGCTGGGGATGGGTGCATTATTGTTTCAGGATAGTCTGGCTGGGCGGAACAAGCAGGGACAAGTTTGCGCGAATAGCAATTATTCATGGGTACAAAACTTGTCCTCTCCCAGGAATATAGAAGATCCCTTGAAGCATAGATGATAGCCATGCCTTTTGCCAATATCTCGTTGACGTCCAACTTGGTTGACATGTGAAAATAGCTATCCGCCGGTTTAATCTGATTGGTGGTGGTTTCAATACAACATCACATGACATGAATCCGCTAATATGACCTGTGATTGGTACATACCCGATCATACAGGCTAACGGATGACCAGCCAACCCGCCTCCCGCCAGACGGCACCAGCCAAACTGCAACGGCGTAACAGTCGTACCAGCCCCGTAATAGGTATCAGCGCCTCCACTCCTTCCAATCCCCAGCCCAACCACATTAGAAAAATCACCAAAATCACATCACCTTCATCCTGCACCCGTCGAGTGTTTCCGCCGTTTTCGAGAGATATGGACTCTTCTTCGTCATCCTCCCAGTCAAGAACTCGCCATGTACGTTCTCCGGCTTTTGATCGTGCCCGTTCTCCCGTGGTTCAGCAAATGATTTCAACATCCCTCACGACTACTGGTGGCGGTGGTGGAAACACAAGTCAGCAACCTGTGGAAACGAGAGTGTCCTCCGGATCAGCCAAGTCCTCTTCTTCAAGTCGAAATGCGGTATGCTATATTTATGCGTTTTCATTTCCTCATTATGCGCTGCTGTGCGCTATGCAGTTCATCATATCTGCGTTTTAATGTTGGATACTTCTCCATCGTGATATCCATGTGCTAACGAGTTTTCTTCTTTCATTGATAGCAGCAGCCCGACAAGCAACTCTCACAGATTGAAAAGAGCGTTACCCATCTTCTCGTCGCGACAAAGCAGCTATTAGAGACCCTCACACAATGGTCACGACAACGTGCGACGGAGAGCGAGGTTTCGGACGTTTATGTCCGTTTGGGATACGAGTTCAACTTGGCCTGCAGGGCCTTCGGAGCTATTGGGGTCGACACAGCAGACTTGGGCCCAGTGCCCGATCTCCTCCGGACCATTTTGGAAGACACCCTTAGTCAAGATGCATCTCCAGAGAGCCTCGATCGGTATCTACCGCGCATACGGGATATCATTATCAATTTACTCCAGGGTCTCAAGAAAAAACAGGCTAAGTTGCGGTCGAGGCAGATGAAAGATGGATTGCCCGCGACAACACGACATGGTAGCGCTGGCAGCGTAGGAAGTGGGGACAATAGTCTAAATCAGATCGCGGATGAAGCTCCATCGTTACCGCAGTCCGCGCCCAAACGACAACAAGAGGTATCTCGCCAAGCTAATACAATAACAAGCTATGGAGATACGGGATTTACCAGAAACAGCTCTTCTGCCACCTGGTCTAATGACCGCCATGGGCCATCTTTTGCCGAAAGGGAAGCGTCGAAGAGAGACCAGTCAAAGTCAGGTGTTTCTTCGAATTCGTCACTATCAAGTACTGCTATGCAGAATATTCCTGTTGTGTCCCCATACCCTGACCAAAGCATGAACGGATCTCGCTACGGCAATGCTTCCAATTTCTCTGCGCATAATTTCCCTCATCCCCCGCCTCCCACACCTCCAAGCTCTAAACAAGACGACGCCATTGGGATGCTACAAAGAAGTGGTGAACTGGAACGACGAGCGTCGAGGAGATTCTCTGCCTATCAAATACAAAAACACCTTGGTCCATCTCCTAATGGTGTTCCAGTTATTCCTCCTTCGCAGAATTCCCCGGTTCCGAATCGAGGCCGCGATGTTCGCGAATCAATGAATGCAGTGCGCCTCCGTGGATCATATCTTCACAACAGGCAGCGCTCAAATAATCGGACTGTCGAATCATCCCCTGGCCAAACCAATTCACCCGAGCGCAGGGGACCAGCGAAGAAACCTCACGTCGACACGTCAGTGGGATCGACTGAAGACGATGGTCCGCCGAAAACCTCAACTGACAAGCTTGGCTCCCCGCGCCGTTTTGAGTCGAGAGATATGCCACCTGCTAGTGGCTCTCTGCCCGCTCTGCCCCATATTTCAGAGCGGGATTCGGGTTCAGAGACATTCGAGAGCTCGTCGAAAAAGGGCACGGAACAGCAATCTTCACCTGCGAACGGGACCCAACATGCTAAAACCTCATCTACAAGCTCTGACAACTCGCAAGTTAGCCAGTTTACTCCAGAGTCATCTCCCGCTCCAACCAAAGAAATAACACTCTTCTTACAGTACAGAAGTAAGATTAAGAAATACGTCTTGTCAGAGGGCTATTCTGAGTTAACTCTTGGCCGATTACAATTGGCGTTTATCGAAAAATTCGCATGGAATACCCATAACAATGGTGCAGATTTGCCAGAGATTTATCTCCAGGATCCTGTCTCTGGCGTTCGGCATGAACTGGAAGATCTGAACGACGTAAAAGATCGATCAGTCCTCGTGTTGAATGTTGAGCCACTTGACGAGGTGAAGAAGCACTTCGACGATGGAGTTGGGGGTCTCCGTCGTCTGATAGAAGGCGTCCGTGAAATTGTTGATGGACAGGGAGCGTCTATCCAACGATTAACTGACCGTCAATTAGAAGCTTCGAAAGAAATTTCTCGCCTTGCTGCAGCCCCGCCTCCAGCAGATGTATCCAAATCTATCGTTACATCCAACGGTCCAATTGCAGGTGGCGGAAACCATATTTCAGAACTTCAGGGTATTCGTCGTGATCTTGCCGTGCTACGTCAGACTTATACGAGTTTCGCGGCAGATGTATCAAACTCTATGGGCTCCATCCGATCCAAGGCAGGTTCTGTAAAGCATGCAGCGAATGAACTGACTGTGCCGCCGTTTGAGGGTGATGCAGGCCGTGCTCGCGTGAATGCAGGGAAGAAAGAGCTTGCTGACGAATCTGAAAGGATCGTCGCTCGTGTCGACGATCTTCAAGATCTCGTTGAGGATCTACGGAAGGATGTTGTCACTCGTGGTGTCCGCCCCCTACCAAGACAATTGGAAGCGGTAGGCCGGGATATCGGTGCAGTATCGAAGGAATTGAACAAGATGAAGGAATTCCTTAAACGAGAAAAACCAATATGGACTAAGATATGGGAGAAGGAGTTACAGCTTGTGTGTGAAGAGAGGGATCAACTCACAATGCAAGAAGATCTAGTGATTGACCTTGAGGACGATCTCGACAAGGCAACCCAGACATTTGCCCTTGTGGAGCAGGCCACGAAACAACAGAGTCTCCACTCGACTTCGAACGCGACCCCTGGACCCAACGGCTTGAGAAACGTATCCCGCAATTTCCCAGTCGATGAGCCGTTTGACCCCATGAAAGCCAAGGACCATCTCCTAGGAGAAGTAAGAGCGCTGCAACCTAATCACGAAAATCGTTTGGAAGCCATAGAACGTGCTGAGAAAGCAAGAGAGAAGGAGCTGGAAAGTCGCCGGATCGGCCCGCTCCAAAAGGAGTTGGGCAAATTTGTTGAAGAGGGAAAGCTGAAGAAGAGTGGTGGATTCGAGGAGATCGAACGGATGCGGAAGGCAAAAGATGAGCGGATACGCAAGGAGGTATGGGAGCGCATGAATGGTATTGTCCCTGGACCGGAACAGAACACCGCGACGACAACCGCAGCAGCAGCAAGCATTCCTTCCCCTGATGACAACCTGCCTGAGGAGATTTCCAAGTCACCTGAAACGGCGGGATCAGGGGAAGAGCGTGCCAACCCATCAACTGGAGAAGGAATCGCCGGCCGTGATTCTATTTCTAGCCGTGGCAGTCCCCTTTCCCCTGCAAAAGATGAGCTTGCAAAAACACAATCTTCTCCAACTGCTCCTGGTATGTAGAGCAGCGGCATTCTCATTTATACATATATAAATAGATTCCAAGATAGAACGGGGCAGTTTTGGGTTTTTTTGGTTTTTGGGTTTTTGATCTAACATTTTTGAACCGTTGCGGGGACATACTTAGTTTCCGAACGCAAACGCTCATCATGGCTCACGTCCATATTCACCAACTAAGTATGGGAAAATCTCCCACCTCACCAAATGTCCCAGCTTCACCACATCCCACACCCCCCTTTGGTTCTATCCTCCTCTCCACCCCAACCTACAATGCTCCGCTCGCTGTTACTTCCTTTGGAAGTAGGACGTTTTAGCTTTTGAGTACGTTATTTTGCCCATGGATAAAGCTGGTCGGTTAACGTGTCTGGGTATATTTTATACTTTTATACTTTTTTGCTCTCTATTTTACCCCTTCAAAGTTTTCAATTTTCTTTTTTTTCAATATGGTTTCTTTTTGGTCTGTCTGTTTTGATGTTAATGCTAATTGAATTCCTGATACCCCCGGTCGTACTCACCAGAGAGTTTCTAAACACCGTGTCATAATGCGGTGACTTTACATGAACTTCTTGCTCGTTTCTTCACTTTGTTCGTTGCTGCAAGCAGTTGTTATCGTGGGAAGCTTTTGGTAGTTGGTCTTCTTTTTTCATTTCTTTTCTTGTCCAGGCCCCTCCGTTCCCATATATTTTCACATCACCTTTTTATCTTTTATTTCTATCGGGATTTTTCTTTACTTGGATACAGGGTGCATCTTTTTACCTGTTCCTATTCTTTCTCGCCCTTTTTTGTGTGTTGCTATCGATACCCCGCCGAACCACGTCCTTATATTTTTTTGTTCCTTTTGTCTTCCATTCATGCATACACACCCCCAACTTCCCAGGTAATATTTCCCTCTTCATCTTCCTCGTCTGGCGTTTTTTTTCTCTTTATGTTGAAATCTATTCTGGACGTGAATGAGAAACACTATCTTCATGGGACAACACAAGAGCTGGCTGGTCCGGCTTTTACTTGGCTGGATACCTATCTGTCTTGGTGGTTAGGTAAATTTTGAAACGAGAGGTGACTGGGTGATTTGGAGGAAATCTGATGATGGAGTCCATTTCATTTACCACGATAAATGACCGAATTAACTTACTTTTATTTGATTTGATTTTACTCTTGTTTGCAAAGTAGTATTCAGTGGGTGGCTTAGGCCAAATTGGACGTAGTCAGCGTCGGCTCTACAGAGAAGATTCGTTGGGATTTATATTTATCCCCTAGTTATTTTCCGGAAGATCTCGAACAGCAGCGCCAGACCAATTGGAAATCAAGATATCATCATCATCTATTATTCCAACTGCCAACTTTCCAACCAACAATATCCTCTGCTCCTAACTGTATGACTGTACGGAAATGTGTACAAAGACAACATCCTCACCGAACCATGTCTCACCAACATCAACGCCCATTCTGACCATACGCGGGGAAAAGTGTCCACGAGACCACACCCGGATTCAAGTTCATAAATGTATCTATTGTATTGCTAGCACATGTAAAACTACACCGTACATATCTTCTTCCAAGGCATCTCATTTTGTTTGGTTCTCTCGTTCCTCTATCCCGCATCATATAAAGTAATAATTAATTATTCCTAGCCCACTCAGTACCTCTCCTGCTCCTCTCGTAGCTCACCCTCACCCAACCCGCAGGGCTGAGCTAACCGCCTATCCAGTCACAAGCGCCTGATGCGACTCTTCCCTGCGCCCTGTCCCTCCTACCATTTCCTCACCCTGCTCCTCTCCCCCGCCTTACAACTACTGCTAACACCACCCACAAATGCCGCAACGGATATCGCCAAGAATAGTAGCATATCCGATGTCGACATCGCACGGGAAAGCCTAGTGCAGCGCGATGTGGAAATCCAGAGACAACTGGCGGGCCAGTCGCCGGTGGGCGTGAGGAGAATGACTGACGACGAGGGGGAGAAATTTTGGTTGGATTATTGGTATTTTGATGCCAATATTGGTGGAAGCGGTGATGTTAGAAATGGAGGACGGAAACAACAGCAGTCTACTCGCATGGGCCTGAGGGATGAAGGGACGGACATCAGGGGGCTGATAGATGGTGGTTGGGGAGATGCCCCAAAAAGCCACCATAATAAGGTGAAGAAGACTTTGGGCAATGCGGGGATGAATAGCTCAACAGCAGCAGCATAAGATCCCCCAATACCTCTCCATGGGAATATAACGGATGATGATGGAGCAGATAAAGGTAGG